TTTGAAAATAATATTATAGTTTGATTTAGGTCAAAATATAATATTTGTAAACATGAAGAGTCAGTGCCAGTGCCTCACCAGCCATGAACCTCACTGCAGAAGCTTATATAAAGACATCTAAGTTTTTTGTGCCCCACCAATTTTGTACATATAGAAATGCCACTGACAAACACACTGCACATACACACACACACACACACAGCAGAGCTGAGCAGAGCACATATACACACACATCATGCGCCTTTGTGACCGGACATTTCCTTCATACAACGAGTAATAGGGGGAATAATCGGGCCGTTCGATGTGTGTGTGTGTGTGTGTGTAGAGGTGTGTGTGGTTGAAACGTAGCAGCCTGCAGTGGGGAACACAGTGAAGGTGGTGTGTACGCGCTGGTGCTGCACTTCTCAGAGGCTGCCTCCTGATGCTGCAGCCATTTCATGAAGTGAAGGAGGTTTTACAAATTAAAAAATAACCCTGGCCGCAATGTCCTTAAAATGAAGTCCGAGTTTTGAAATATAATGTATGCACTGCCATTTCCCCACATAAACATAACAGTCTGCGATGAAACGGTTGTTTCCTGTGTGCACCACTTCCTATTGGCGCACCGGTAACTTTCTCTGCGCACAAGAGACTTTATACTAACCAATTTTGATATATTTTGTATGTTTTGGATGAAATAATATGACTGGTATAGGTACGAAAATAAAAAAAAATAGAATTTTTTTTTTCTAAAATATTTTTAGATATTTATAATTCTGCAAATAAACTCACAGCTATTTTGCGGCCCGGCAGTAACACCTCTGCGGCCCGGTACCGGTCCGCGGACCGGGGGTTGGGAACCCCTGATTTAAGGCACCTACAACACACCTCTACATTATTTGGGATTAAGTGGTGGAATAGATCAAATAATATTCAGTATATCTAACAATTTTTTTAGTATTCCCGCAGGCAAAGTATCAACGAAGCTTACATTATACAAATGTAATGCAATATACAGACTGTTTAGCTTATGATGATCAGCAGCCCTATGAGCTCATTCTCTCAGTGTCATCAGGAATACAGAGACACACACACATCATTTAAATAAGAGTTTTTAAATTAAATTATTGGTTAAGAATAAACATCTTAAAGTAAATAAGAATAAACAATAGCCCTTAACCTTGTAAGGCCCCCGGTTGTAATTTTACAACATTACTTGAAGCTATCCTAAAAAACTCAGTAAATGTTTTGTTTTTTTAAAAGACTACATTTACATAGTCAACAGGTCCTTTTGTTCAGCCTCACGATGCAATTGGGTAGTAAATGTGTTTATAGGTCCTGCCCTCTGGCGATACACGTCAGGGATTTTGGGCCCCATGGAAATATATCACATTGGGCCCCACCACCAGGCCCAGGCCACGCCAACCAAGCACAATTGCTGTAACCACACCTCCAGAACCCAACCCACTCATTTATGCTTTAAATAACTCTACCTGTACAGGCTTGCATCTATCTTGTAGTCCAATACTAACTGCACAATATTTACTGACACTGTCCTGTGAAAATATAACACTTATGGGGGGACAGGGCTGCTAAGTCTAGAGATGGATCTGTTGGTCCTGGCACCAGGGGGAGGGACAACTGATTTAGTATGAATAGCTGCTAAAAATGTACCTGCATTTACTAAATGTCAGCTAAAAGAGGAGTGAAATTAAAAACCTGTATAGATATTAACAGTACTTAATGTCAGCTTACTAAAAAAAAAACATAACAATTATTATTTACAATGGACTACCCGTAGCTAACAGACACATTTCCACCACTCATACTGTAGACCACACCCAACTTTTCTTTGAAAAACTGGGTGACATACTGTCACCCTTTAGTCCCTCTCTCTTGTCTTTCTCTCCTTTCTTTTCTCTTTTGAAAGCCTGACTTTGTGAGTCATTGAGACATGGTTCACACGTAAGTACTACACTGTAAAATATTACCATGATTTCACAATATTTAGCTGTAATATTTTACAATAAATTACTGTTTTACCACTTTACAGTCTTTACCTGTAATGTTCACAATATAAGACTGTAATTTAGAATTTCACAGTGAAATCAATACGGGCACAGTTAATTACTGTGAATGTACAGGATAAATGATTACCAGGATTTCACAACATGTTACTGTATTATTTCACAGTAATATACTGTATATAGACCATCCTCTGTGATAACACAACAAATTAAGTGATTTTCTTGCTTTCATCGCTCTTGCTTGGCTTTAAATACTAATTTATTTCTTTGGTGCAGGTTTTACTTAAATTGAAAGGGGCACCGCTGCATGGCTTAAAATAAACGATGCAACATACAAATCTATGTAAAATTGAAATTGTTGTCTTGGCTTAGTGTTTTCAGGTGCTTCCTGGGCATTAACCCTGAGACGGGCTCGAAAGCCAAAAAGAGGCATGGCAATTTAAACCTCCATGTCAGCACATTCTTCAGATTTTTTTTTTGAGTGGATGTCTGTGTAGACATGTGTTAAGTGCTCCCCTCCTTGTTTTCTTTTCTGTCTCCCTGTCTCCGCCTCTGCCCAGGTGCACCTGGTCTGCCCCTGGCTCCGCCTCTGCCCAGGTGCACCTGGTCTGCCCCTGGCTCCGCCTCTGCCCAGGTGTTCCAAATTCCACTCAGCCGTGTGTATATATAAAGAGAAGCTGGAGGAGAAGGATGTCTCGCCTATCCTAACGCCGGGAGACACTGTCCTCAGAATACCTCTTTGCCATTTTGAGCTGTAGGCCATATTTTTGCAGATGTGTTTATGTTTAGCCTGGAGGACCTGGTAGTCCAGTTTTCGCGGCTTTATTTTGTTTCCCATTGGGTTTATAATTAATTTCCGGTTAGGGGGGGGAGCTCTGGGTCCTACGGTCCGTGGTGTGGCTGGTTCGGGTTCCCTCCTTCTGTTTGTTCCTTTTGGCCAGTCCTCCAGACCTCTTTTTGTTTCCCATTTCACTTGTGTGAGCAAACGGCTGATTATCAATAATGCTCGTTACCAAGTACCGGTTATTGCGTGTATTCTTTCATGTTGCGGGTCTCAGCACGAGCCACTACCGCGGAGTAGAGGTTGGGGCTGTAACAACATTTCCAAGACACTGTGAAATGTACTTTGCACTTCAATAGAGTAATACAAAGTTTAAATGGGCATTTTCTTTATTTTTCTTTGTTGATTGAGCTGATTGAATTGTGTAGTTATGGTACAATCCCAGTCAAATTTACAATATATTATCGTATTATTTAGATTTTTATATTTACAGTAAATTACTGGCTACTGTGTTGTATTACTTCTACAGTAATAGTGTGAAAATACAGGTAATTACTGTAATTGATGTACAGCAAGGTACCATAATACCACAGCTCTGTACTGCTATATCACAGTAATTCCATGGGCATGGCAACTGTTAAGTCACAGTATTTAGTTGTACTTTTATTCTAATTTATTGTAAAATATATACAGTAAATTACTGTGAAATATTTACAGTAAATTACTATGAAATCCATGCAACTAGTAGCCAGTAATTTACTGTAATTTTACAGCCAAACATTTTACAGTGTAGCATCATTGCTCCTAACATGCTCTCACTCTCTGCTAGAAAGTGCCGGCGGTGCTGCACCGCGTTTGGAGGCAGGACCAAACCATTACATGTAAATAGAAGGGGGTGTACAGAGGCTTTGGATAATTAACTTTTGGAAGAAAATAAGTTAAATGAATTGTAAGTTTAGTGAGTACATTATCAATATAACGTCCTATTAATGATAATTATTGATGAATGATGAAAGGTTACTAAACATTTATTTCTTAATGTCCTAAAATAGTTTGGGCCCCCGTGGTGAGGGTGTTTGGGGTGGCCAGGATTCAGCTCCACCACTGCTTATTAAAGGGTAACAGTTCCACGGGCTGGGGACTTTTAATTAAGTTATTTTGTCTGATTTAAGTTCAGAAGTAAGCTCATTCATGTTTGCTGAGATGTGTCATGATGAACATACATCACAACAATAGACAGCATCAGGACTGCATGGGTATATATTAGCTCCTGGTCTGAATATAGCCTTTTGAGGGCAACAGATAGTATTTCTATGTCCCTTTAACTGTTTACAGATCCGTGAGCAACGCGATGCCTCAGCGTGGAGTTTCCAGATGAGTTCAAGATTGTAGCCGGTTTATTAGCTGATTTGAAGCTAATCAAAAGCTAAATTGTTGTCAAAAGATGGTCATGAGTTTTAGATTGCATTAGGGCCATGCGTACACCTTTTTTACTCCGACTCAGGGTCGTCCCTGGCCTGCCCCACGCAAAGTTATATGATGAGGCCCTCTGTTTTGCAAGCAGCGGCGAAACCATGCGCCACACTAATTGTGCCGCATAAGCGCGCCGCATTTTCGGCTCAGTTGAGGCACCCTTCGCAGGATGAGGCCCACTCCGCAAGGTGAGGCCCCACGCAGTCTGCATGATCGGCCTGTAGGGAGGGACGGCCCTGCTCCGACTGTTTACCTTCACTCAACCAAAGCCTGCTTGAATCGGTCAATACAATACTACCAGCACAAACGGACTAAACACAGAAACCAGGACGTTTATGAAACCAAAACACTATTCAGATGTATAAAGTAAAGTAAAGTACATCCTTTTGTAAGGGCAGCTGCAGTATGACCTGAAAGTTAAAAAAAGTTTCCTAAAAGTTTTCCTATTTGGAACGTAACGTTATTTGTATTTAAATCTGGCTACTGACTTCACAGAATTTACAACCATATACTACATTAAATGAATTAATCTGGTGTATTTTTACTCACCCAATTACTCTCTGCTTCACACAACTTGTAAGGCTATATGTACAACACTGTTCCTCTTATGTGAATGGCAAGACCCTCAAATGAAACCTGCTGGTTTGATTTTAACCTCATAGACATTGCTTTCCACTTACTTGAATACAGGACCAAAGGGTCACAGAGTGTCCCTCCATGCAGTGGTTTTCTGTTTTTACCTGTGACTGTGGGTCTTCTCCTTCTCGTTGGACTCCTCCCCTTCAGCTGTGGATTGGCCCCTGGACCCTTGAGTGCGACGCCTCCTCCTCTCTCCATTGGCACCACTGACTCCTCTGGAGTTCCTCTCCCCCTCCCTGTTGGATGAACGTCCATCTTTGGGGCAGGATCTTCGCTCTCCCTTCTCCCCACTGTTCACTGTTCTGTTGCCCCCCCGGGTCTGCCGGTGTGAATGATGATGCCGATGCACTCTCTCACTCGTGACTCCTCCCCCACCGCTGTCATCCACTGAGCTCTGAAGGTGATGCCTCCTGCCCCCCTCTCGGCTGCGGGACCTCTCGCTCTTTGCCTCTTTGCCCTGGCTGTCGCCGGGCTTTTTAAACCGGCTGTGATGGACGTGGTGCCCCCGGTCCTTATTGGTGCCCCCGTTTTCGTTAGCCTCCTCCCTGGTTCTGGCCCGGTCCCTGTGGCGGTTGTGGCGGCGGGGCTGGAGAGGAGCAGGAGGGGGGGGGGTCAGTGGCAGCCTCTGCCTCCTCTGGCATGCAGGCATTGTGATGGTGGTGCTGGTGGCCGGCAGGACATGGCCCGTCCAGAGGCTCAACAACCAGGGGCCGGTCCAGGTGGGTCTTCATGTCGGGCCGGATGTGGAGGCGATCCTCCAGCTCCAGCTCGCTGTAGAGCGCCTCGCAGCTGGCCTGGTTCTGCCTCCTCAGCTGGTTGGCCCTCTGCTCCCACACTGACATAGTCTTCAGTGACTTCTGCTGCTCCTTACTACAGTTGGGGCAGAGGACCAGACAAATCAAAACCCCTCACATTGATGTTATCATATTAAATACTGTGGAAACCACGTTGATGTCAGCACCACATATTGATCACAACATTTGTTATTTCTACAAAGGGTGTGATCATTTCATACAGATACACTCACATTCATTTGAGGCATGACACATTCAATATCAATCTTCATTGCACATAATATCATTATATATTTTGTTGTACATTTCAGGATGGTACACATAGTCCCTACATGCTGATGGTTTACAGTATGACCAAGGTGCAATGAAACTTTCAACACAGCAAACACATTCATCATAGTGAGCTGCAGAGAAAGGAACCAGCATGGCCACATGACCATGCTTTGACATGCTACTTATTTTCTGTCAGTGTCTCTGTGTAACTCAGTACTTTTGATTAGCTAAATGCATGTACTTCTAATACTTAAAACAGGGCCATCTCCTAACAGTGGGAAATTCTATTTTTAAGGTATATTCACACAAAACGTGAAGCAGATATTGTAGAGGGCAATGAAATATAAAGTCGATGCTAAAACACAAACACATATAGCAAACACCGATTCTGTGCCATATTGTGAGATGAAATTGTTCAACTCAAGTGAGAAATTCATATGTCAATGTGTAGTGAAATCCTATCAGTTCGAGATTATCTTGATGATTGTAATCTGTTGAATTTGAATCAGAAATTAAGGAGTAAGTGTAGTTATCTGTGGGCAGCTCTCATGAATAATTCACATTTTGCCATTGGAGGTGTCACGTTAAACGCTCACATCATGATTTAGTTATTTCAGCATCCTTTTGATCTTTGTATGGCAATTAAGTAAACACAATGTGTTTTGGGTTATTATCGCTCTAGTAGACCAGATAAATTGGACTTGTAGCTTTAATGATGTAGAGTTTCCCTTTGCATTTGGTGTGAACACAGCATCCTAATGCCATATCTTTAATGTCATGTCTTTAGAGAAGTCAATATGTAAGTTGATAGGAAAGAGAAAATAAAGCTACCCTATTTGCCCTTCAGTAGCTTTATTCTTACTCACCTTCTACACACTGTATGTCAAACTTCAATAGTAAGCACCCTACTATACTCCTGCTAAGAAGCTGATGAACAATATGAATCAGAAAAGCATGTCACATGGTGTTCATGTAAAGGATGCATGACACTGTGTTTTTGTGTCATTTAGATTCTTAAATGTATTGTTGCCAAGCATGTAAATGACGACATGATTGTTTTTCAGCATATGATCATTATCATGGACCACCTCTCTAGCAGGCGGTTGTGATGGACTGGGGGTGCAGACATAACTCCTACAAACACAAAAAGGAACAACAAACAGAAACAGAGGGAGAGAAGGAACTTCAACGAGACAGAAACAGGTTACAGACACAAACACAGAGGGGCTAATAAGCATCAAAAACCTACAAGGGCAGAAACATGTGCAGTACAGATGGAAAACCATACAAAACCCTACAACAAGATGTTTTAGCTGAGAAGAAGCAGGGAAATATTCATGGGGACAGGAGAGAACGATACGTCCATAAATACACATGCTACCCGTACAGTCATGTGACTGTGTTAACGTGGAGGGTTTGGGTCGTTTCAATGTGGCTGCAGGGTCTGCTTCTCTTAGTAGGATGTCACCGATGCTACTCAGGCAGAGGGGGTTATTACAGTGACGTTGTTTTTATTTGCAGTTCTTTTGATATCTCAATACATTTAAATAAGGAAGAAGTGTGTGACCATGTATCTATCTTGTGACATTGGTCTTATTTAAACTGCGAGTATGTTTAATCAACACAGTCTCACTCCCTGAACGTCCAGGAGCGACGCTTGGTCAGGGTCCTTTGGCGTGCAGTTGTAACGCACCGAGTCTCCTTCAGTTTCATAAACGGACGCATAGAGCTTTCAACTGATAACAATGTATTCCCATCGGCGGCGGTATTTGACGCTCAGAGAAGCACCGCATCGGTCCATGTCGGCGGCAGTTGAAGGCAATGTGAGCGTCCATTCCCATTGGATAACGGATAATTTTACAACCGGAAATAAGTATTCTCCTTACTGTCGATTAATTTTACAGTGATATCTGCACTACTCATCAACTCAAAAACACCATATTATCCTTGTTAATTACACAACATTGATTGGTTTAAATTGTGTACAATGGTTTTGTGTATATGATATGTCAATAAACCTTTGAAAATCTTGAAATCTTGAAAGGGATGTGCAAAATAGCAATTATATACAGTCTTTAATGAACGATTAGAGAATAACGAGTAATGAATATGCTTTATAGGGATCTGCAGATACATTTGTACAGACGCTTTTCTGCTTGCTCTTGCCTCTGCTTACTTTTTATGCTGATTTTCCTATTCTTATTCTCTGAAAACTTCGAGCAGCGGCTCCTGGACATTAACTTATCACTGGGACAGTTCATCTTCGTAAATAGACGGAGGGTTTCAGCCATATTTCAACATTTTTACGACGACGTCAGTCTTACAATAGCGTGGCCTAGCAACAGCTAAAGCCTGGTAGGCTACTGCTATTTAGCTTAAGCTAGTTGGTAGCAAAATGCCTCCGTTCTCTACAGATGACTTCCAGAAACTTATACAGAAGATGGCTGTGTTGGAAATGAAAATGCAACGGTTGGAAGTTAACGTGGAAGTGAATGGACTATGTCGTGGGAATGACACGACTTTACCAGTGTTGCAAAGTAATGGAGAAGGGTATGCTAACTCACAGCTAGTTAGCAGCTACAAGGATTCCAAGGAACAGGAGGGCTGTGTACCGGGTAATAAATCTACAAGTGGTAGTCCTCCCTGGAACTCTCTGGGTGCAAAGCCTAAGAGTAAATCACTTCCATGGGATTTGGGAGGACGGATAACAGGCAGAGCCCAGAGCTCCGAAATCTGTGATGCGACCGGCTGGCCTGCATTGTTATCACCCAGGAAGAGCGCCTCTTCAACCCCTATTCATACTAGGAAACAGCAGTGGACAGCTGCTAAAGGGAGAATTACAAACAATCCTCCTAAACCACCAAGTGTGCCAATCCAGAACAGATACGCTCCGCTGACCGAGAACCGGAGATCTGATGACCTGGATAACCTGTCCTCTTCACGCAGCAGGGTAAGGACCAATAGCTACTCTAAAAGTAAAAGGCTAGAGGGAAAGCTAACGACTGGGCCTGAAACTCTGATTGTGGGTGACTCTGCTGTAAGAGATGTAAAAGGTCTGTGTAATAAGAACAACACCAAAGTACTCTGTTTTCCCAAGGATGTGGTCTCTGACTTGGCTGAGAAGATCCTGCATATTGGGGCTGAACATCCGATTGTGAAGAATGTGGTACTGCACATTGGAACAAATGATGTTGTGAAACAACAGTCAGAAGTGCTGAAAGAAGACTTTAAATGTTTGTTGGAAACTGCCAGCTCTCTAAATGCAGAGGTGTTCATCAGTGGCCCTCTACCGCCAGTCAGAAGAGGAGTGGAGAGATTCAGCAGATTGTTTGCACTGAACACCTGGCTTTCAACGGCCTGTACTGACCATTCTGTTCATTTTATTGACAATTTTAACTTTTTCTGGGATCGCAGACATCTTTTCAAGGCAAATGGAGTTTGCCTGAACAAGTCAGGAGTGAAATTGTTTATCTCTAACATATTCAACTGCCTGCGTCATCAATCTGTTCCCTCTGCCAAGGACAAGCGGCAAGAGGAATCAAAACACGAGAAAGACACAACACATCACGCAGAAAACCCTGAAGAATTATCACTGCACCCGCCTGAGGAATGTTCTGATTATGGGAGACATATGAGACACATGGAGGAGTCTCCACTGCCCCCCCCCCCCTGTCAACGCCTTTGAGGATACTCCGTTCACCCTTTCACCCTCGCCCACCCTCCTGGAGATCGATGAACACACAAAGGAGATACAGAGGGTTGGCACCGATTCCTTCCTGGAGTTCAAAGACCAAACGAAGGCGATACGCAGGGCTGGCACCATGTCCTTTACCCCCGCTCCTCAACGACGCCCACCAAAATCACCGCGGAGACGCGCACCATCTCCCCCGTCCTCATCACCGCGCCTACGTCAACCACCTCCCCCCCCTGGCAGCATGTCCTCTACCCCCGCACCATCTAGCCCGTCTCCATCACCGTGCCTACGTCGACCACCTCCCCTCCCTTTGAGGGGGCTTCTGCAGTCTCCGAAGCCTGATAAGGATGTGTGTGTACAAAACACAACAAACTCTTACTGATATGTGATGGGTCCAGGCTCAAGGGCGTATGGCACTCTCAACTCTTTCCAGGACATGTCGGGGCCCTGCCTGCCAGTAGCTTTGCCGATATCTGTGTTGATAGGTAATAGATTAAGAGCGGTGAATCATAGAAACAGGAAGCGCTCAAACGTTTGTGTGAGTGTATCTAATTTAGCAGTGATTCCATGTCAGCCACAGCTTGTTACAAAAAACATGACTGATAGTGTGTTTAACAAACTTAAACTAGCTTTATTAAATGTCAGGTCTTTGGCAGGAAAAACATTTTTAATCAATGATTTAATCACTGAGCACAATCTCGATTTTATGTTTTTAACAGAAACTTGGATTGAACAAAATAACAGTGCAGCTGTTCTTATCGAATCAACCCCTCCCAACTTTAGTTTTATGAGTCAGGAACGAATGCATAAGAAAGGGGGTGGAGTTGCTATTCTGTTCAATGATGCCCTTCAATGCAGGAAGACATCGTATGGAAACTTTGATTCTTTTGAATATGTGGCCCTTCGGCTGAAATGCTCCTCTCGAGCTCTGTTCCTAAATATCTATAGACCACCCAAATACTGTGCAAGCTTTTTTGATGACTTTACTGAACTGCTGTCTATAGTGTGTATTGACTTTGACCGTCTAGTCATTGTTGGTGATTTTAACATCCATGTTGACAACCCCCAGGACAGAGGGGCTAAAGAACTGTTTTGTGTTCTTGATAGCT